GAATTCTATAAGTTTCTATGAGATCCTGCTCATTATTCTGAACTCTAGTGAGTATAATCCTCACATGTTCAACCTCTCCTCATACATCAGTCTCGTCATCTCAGGAATCAGTCTGGTAAATCTTCACTACACTCCCTCTATAGCAAAAACATTTCTCCTCAGGTAAGGAGACCAAAACTGCATAAAATACTCCAGGTGTGGTCTCACCAAGACACTGTATAATTGCAGCAAGACATTCCTGTATTTGAATCCTTTCAATGTAAACGCCAACACACCATTTGCCTTCCTTACCGCCTGCATACTTCTTTTTAACCTTTAGTGTAGGAGGATATCCTGATCTTGTTGCATATTCCTGTCTCTCAATTATAGCCATTCAGATAATAATCTACCTTCCTGTTTTTGCTCCCAAAGTGGATAACCTCACATTTATCCATGTTATACTGCACCTGCCATGCATTTGCCCACTTACTTAACTTGTCTAAATGGCTGAATCTCTGCATCTTTCTCGCAGCTCACCCTTCCAGCCAGCTTAGTGTCATCTACAGATTTGGAGATATTACAGTTAGTCCCCTCAGCCAAATAATTAACATATTTCATGAATAGCTGGGGTGTGAGTGCTGATTCCTGTGGTACTGTACTAGTGACTGCCTGCCATTTGGAAAAAGACCCATTTATTCTTATTTCTTTTCCGGTCTGCCACCCATTTTTCTATTCATCTCAATACAGTATCCCCAATCCCATGCATTTTCATTTTGCACACTAATCTCTTATGTGGGACTTTGTAGAAAGCCTTCTGGAAGCCCAAATAAACCACATCTACTGGCGCCCCCTCATCAACTCTCCAAGTTACACCCTCAAAGAACAGAAACAAACTTGCTGGAAAAGCTCAGCAGGTCTGGCAGCATCTGTGGAGGAGAAAACAGAGTTAACGTTTCGGGTCCAGTGACCCTTCCATCAGTTCTGAGAAAGGGTCACCAGACCCAAAACGTTAACTCTGTTTTCACCTCCACAGATGCTGCCAGACTTGCTGAGCTTTTCCAGCAACTTTGTTTTTGTTCCTGACTTACAGCATCTGCAGTTCTTTTGGTTTTTACATCCTCAAAGACTTGCAGTAGATTTGTCAAACATGATTTCCCTTTCTAAATCCATGCTGACTCTATCTGCACTTGCCACTGTTTTCCAAATATTCAGCTAATAATTATATTATAATAAACTCTAGCATATTCCCTACTGCCATCATCAGGCTGACTGGTCTGAAATTTCAACTTTTCTCTCTGCCTCCCTTCTTAAATAGAGGGGTTACATTAGCTACCTTTCAATCAGTAGGAATCATTCTAGGGTCGATATAAACTTAAAGATGACGACCAATACATCCAATATTTCTCGGGCCACCACCTTAAGCACTCTGGGATATAGATTATTGTGGCCTGGGGACTTATTGGCCTTCAATGCCATCAATTTCTCCAACACTATTTTCCTACTGATGTTGATGTCCTTCAGTTCCTCCCTCTCACTAACTCCTGTGTCTGCGATGTTTCTGGTGCATTATTTGTGTCCTTCTTTGGGAACACAGAACAGTGTGTCAGTAATAGTCACAATGGATATTGAGTGTTGGGCATCAATCAAGTCAACACCAATCAATGGTGTTGAGCTGCTAAAGTGTTTTTGCAGCTGAGCCCATTCAGGTGAGCAATGCATTTTCCATCATACTCCTGACCAGATTTCAAGGGATCAGGTGTTGGGATACTTAGAATGCCTAGTCTCTGCACTAATTTTGTAACAATGGTGTTGGTATGCCTGGTCCAGTTCAATTTCAGGTTGCTGGTGACCACAAGATGTTCATGGTGAGGAACTCAATGTTGAAGATAAAGGGGAGATGGCTGTGTTTTCTTTCTTTTGAGATAGTCATAATTGGTCAATTATTTCCCAGTCACCTTAGTTGCGAGGTCAATGACCAGGAGACATGGCTTTAAAGTAGTTGGCAGGAGGATCAGAAGAAAGTCCATGAGAGAATTATTAACTCAGAGGGTGTAGTCATTCTGGAACTCATTGTCTATAAAGGTGTTATTGAGGCAAAAATCTTCATCTTATTTAGAAAACTAGAACTTCGGTTTGAGGTGCCATAACCTGTGAACAATATCTGGAAAGTGAGATCAGGCTGGAGAGCATTTATTAGTCTGTACAGACATAAAGGGTCAAATGGCTTCCCTTTCTGTTGTAAGTCCTTCTTTGATTCTGGTGTATGGTATGGATGTCACCTGCCAGTTATTAATGCAAATCCAGATGACATACAGCTCTAGGCCAAGCTGAGTTGAATAGCTGCATTGTTAGAAGAACTGTCAAAGAACCTAAACAGTTAAGGCCCATTTCTTCTTACTTTATGATACGGCTAAGGTGTTGATGAATGAGTTGAAAGTCGTTTGAGGACACGTATCTGAGGAACTGTTACTGTGATGGCCTGAAGCTGGTCTCTTCTGTTGCGTTAAGCAGTACTCCAGGCACTGGTTGCTTTTCCTTCTGATCTCATTGTTCTTTTTTTCCACACATTTCTTTGTAACACACACAACTGAAAGCTGCCATTTAATGCAAATATTCCCATTTCTCCTCTAGTGTCCTTCCCTGACTGGGCTATTCCAGTTTTGAAGCAAAAACAGAAAGTGCTGGAGAAACTCTGCAGGTCTGGTGGCAAGTGCAGAGAGAAAGAAAACAAACTTTATGTTTTGAGTCTAGTGACCCTTTGTCAGAACTTCAGGGTCATCATCCTTTTTCTATAATGTAACTCAGACATCAGTAGTTACCCGCTAACAAGACTCTGAAAATGGAGGAAGTGTACTAGAACGCTGTAATCCATATTCGGTACATTAGAATTTATTGAAACTCCTGAGAGCCTGACAGTAGTTAATCTTAGATAAGTCAGAGACAAAGATGCTGCAGACTCTGAGCAGAGTCTAGTGGAGCAGCCTGAAGAGTACAGGCAGAATGCAGGTTCCCAAGGGAGACAGAGTCCATGAAAACAAAGCAACATGTTTTGAATCCATGGAAACAGCACAATCCATGGAAGCAGCTTCTCATGAGGCCCCATTGATTACTGATTATTCCATTGTGGCTGATACACTTATTGCCTATCAAAATAACAGATGCCACCTATTGTCCAGGCTAGGCATCAGATATTGGTGTTATGCTGTAACAGATCAAGTTCTGCAAAATGCACAGAAAGAGTAAAGCTGCCTTTTTTCACTCCCTCAGTCAATATGTTTTAACTTTCACCGCTGCACCAGTGTGATAGTTCCATTTGTATTATTGGATATTTAGACCAGATGTGCTATACAAACCATCTGCCCCCATCTGGTGTTGTGCCTGCTGCATGTGCTGTACTCGTGCCTTATGTAGGTCATTCCACCATAAATGTTGCTGCAGAAGTAAAAGCACAATCGGGAAACCCTGTAGGACATCACCTGGAAAAGCATTAGCCCATCATTCGTGTGAAAGAAACACAGATATTGCCTCCGACTTCTGCCAAAATCATGTGCTATTAACACAGTTGGTAGCATTAGGCAGTGCTGGCAAGACTGTGCTGGTGGAGTGTGATGAGGATGAAAGCAATTCTTGGCGCTTTTCATTTCCTTGGTGACTTGCTGTAGCTTTAGTTTTTTCCTTCAAGCATGATATTCTTTGAGGCAGTTTTAATTCTGTAGAATGTTGAGATTGTGATTATCATTCCATGTTTTTCTCTTCCTCCTTTCCCCACCATCATGAACCCTTCCTCCACCATCATGAACCCTGAGGACCCTTTCTGTGATTTGATTCCACGATCAGTATATGAAAGAATCACAGGAGGGCTATGGGGCAGAAGGAGGTGTTCCCCTCATTATGTCTGCAACGGCTCTTCAAATCAACATTGTGACTGACTGTAAATCTCCTGCTTTTTCTCCACACCCTTGTACATTATTTCTATCCAAATAATCAACCAGAACCCTCTTGAATGTCTTAATTTAAGCAGCCTCCTCCACATTTTCAGACAGTGCATTCCTGACCCTAACTTTTCACTGTGATAAAGCTTTTTCTCGAATCAGATTTGCTCCTTTTCCGAACCTCTTTAAATCTGATCCCTCTGGTTCTTGATTCTTTTGCAAATAGGGACAGTTTCTCCCTATCTACTCTGTCAAGCCTGCTCATGACTTTTCAAATTTCTCCCCCTGGCCTCTTTCTCCCCAAGGAGAGCAGTCCCTGTTTCTTTAATCTATCCTCATTTATGAAATTTCTCATCCCTGCAACCATTCCTGGAATCACGTCTGCCCTCTGTTTATGCATTCACTGTAAATTGGCACCCAGAACTGTGTAGACTGTAGGCTAATTTCTCCAAGTGACAGGTTCCTCATGAAGTGACTGCAGACTTAACATCAGTGTGTTTTACACAAATGCAGATTGACTTTTGGGATGAACTTCAAGAATGGCTGATATCCTGCGAGAGAAGATTTTAAGTGGATAAGACTGGTCTGTCAGGAAGGGGTCAAATTTGTGGCTAGTGCATATGAGATTTTATGCACAACAGCAATAGCCATGTCATCTCTTGTCACCAGGAAGGGCAGAACACTAAGATTATGAGAGCACTATCACTTCCAGTTTTGCACACAACAACTAGATTTATCTAGTGCTTTCATTGTTTCTGATTTTTTTTTCATAGGAGCATTAAAAAACAAAATTTGACCCTGAGCCATGTAAGGAGGCAATAGGATAGGTGACCAAACATTTGGTCAAAGCTATACTTTAAGGAATAACCTAAAGTAGTGAAGAGAAAGTTATGGAAGTTGGTTGTATAATATTTCCCAGAGAGAGAAGGTTTGACGGGGCTTTCTATGACAGTAGATACATGGCATTGGTCTGTCAGAAAAGGAGAATTTTGTCAGGACATTTTCCCATTTCTGAAAAAATTCTCAAAATTAGAGGCCAGAATTCTTAGAAGAATGAACAAACAACAAAGACTGCTTGTATTTTCACAGATTCCTCAGCTGTTTGTCAGGTTTGAAGAAACCCCACTTGGTGCAGCATCATGGGCCCAAGTCCACAAGGCAGTGTTACATGATGGAAGGACAGTGGCAGTCAAAGTCCAGCATCCGAAAGTGCGCAGTCAATGTGCCAACGATGTCATTTTGATGGAGGTAAATGGAACATTTTATTAAAACTATTAGCAGCAAAGACAATGACATTTCGAGTAAACACGGTGTAGAGCTGGATGAACACAGCAGGCCAAGCAGCATCAGAGGAGCAGGAAAGCTGATGTTTCGGGTCGAGACCCTTCTTCAGAAATGGGGGAGGGGAAGGGGATTCTGAAATAAATAGCGAGAGAGGGGGAGGCGGATAGAAGATGGATAAAGGAGAAGATAGGTGGAGAGTGGATAGACAGGTCAAAGAGGCGGGGATGGAGCCAGTAAAGGTGAATGTAGGTGGGGATTTGGGGCGGGGATAGGTCGGTCCAGGGAGGACAGACATGTCAAGGAGGTGGGATGAGGTTAGTGGGTAGGAGATGGGGGTGGGGCTTGAGGTGGGAGGAGGGGATAGGTGGGAGGAAGAACAGGTTAGGGAGGCGGGGACGAGCCTTATCTGCTTTCCGGAGGGACCACTCTCTCCGTGACTCCCTTGTCCGCTCCACACTCCCCTCCAGCCCCACCACCCCTGGCTCTTTTCCCTGCAACCGAAGCAAGTACTACACCTGTCCCTACACCTCCCCCCTCATCCCCATCCCAGGCCCTAAGAAGACCTTCCACATCAAACAGATGTTCACCTGCACGTCTGCTAATGTGGTATACTGTATCCGCTGTTCCCGTTGTGGCCTCCTCTACATCGGGGAAACCAAGCGGAGGCTTGGGGACCGCTTTGCGGAACACCTACGCTCAGTTCGCAACAAACAACTGCACCTCCCAGTCGCGAACCATTTCAACTCCCCTTCCCACTCCTTGGACGACATGTCCATCCTGGGCCTCCTGCATTGCCACAATGACGCCACCCGAAAGCTGCAGGAACAGCATCTCATATTTCGCTTGGGAACCCTGCAGCCCAAGGGTATCAATGTGGACTTCACAAGCTTCAAAATCTCCCCTCCCCCGACCGCATCCCAAAACCAGCCCAGCTAGTCCCCGCCTTCCTGACCATTCCTCCCACCTCAAGCCCCACCCCCATCTCCCACCGACTAACCTCATCCCGCCTCTTGACCTGTCCGTCCTCCCTGGACCGACCTATCCCCGCCCTAACTCCCCACCTACATTCACCTTTACTGGCTCCAACCCCGCCTCTGACCTGTCTATCCACTCTCCACCTATCTTCTCCTTTATCCATCTTCTATTCGCCTCCCTCTCTCACCCTATTTAACCAGCAAATGATGGTGAAGAAACTGACTAAGAATGGGCAAGGAGACTTTGAATGTATGCCAGTGAGGAATGTAGCACCAATGAAAATGTTTCATGGTTGTTAGAGGTCAGTCATCTCAGCTCGAGAACATGTCTGCAGGGATTCCTCAAGGTAATATCCTAGGCCCAACCAACTTCAGCTGCTTCATCAATGAATATAGCTGGCATGGATTTAATGAGTGAGTGGACTTAATGAAGTTCAAGCGAAAAACACATATTTCTGCATCAATAATTAAATTGCTTTTATGCTTCAATGTTTCTTTGAACTGTTGTTATAACTGTCTCTCTTGTGAGTTATATTAAGGATAGAATTTTGCTTTCAGTTAAAAATGAATTTTTCATTTTTAATCCTGCCTACAAACAATGTAATTTTTAAGATAGGGAACAGGGCACTTAGCGAGGATTCACCTGGAGGCTTTTGTGTATCTTGAGCTCACTGCCTAAAGGGGTGGTAGAAGCAGTAATCCTGGAGACATTTAAAAACCCTTTAGATGAACACTTGGATCATCATAGTAAACAAGGCTACAGGCTAAGTGCTGGAAAATAGGATTCAAGTAGATCGATGTTTGATGACCATTGCAGACACGATGGGTTGATGGGGAATCTTTCAGTGTAGCAAAAATTCTATGATTCGTTAGAATCCCTATAGTGTGGAAACAGCCTATTCGGCCCATCGAGTCCACACTGCCCCTCCGAAGAGCAGCCCACTCAGACCCACCACCCGTACCCTATCCCCGTAACCCTTCATTTCTAATGGCTAATCCACCTAGCCTGTACATCCCTGGACACTATGGGGCAATTTAGCATGGCCAATCCACCTAACCTGCACGTCTTTAGACTGTGGGAGGAGCACCCGGAGGAAACCCATGCAACCATGGGGAGAATGTGCACTCTCTACACAGACAGTGGCCAGAGGCTGCAAATCAAATCCAGGTCCCTGGTGCTGTGAGGCAGCAGTGCTAACCACTGTCGGCTTGCTTGAAACTTTGACCCAGCTGGGAGGATTTAGAAGCTTAAAAAGCCCTTGACGTCGCTGTGCGGATAATTGCGGAAGGTGGAGCTATGTGCTGAACAAAAACTGGTTGGTCTTTGTCTTACAAACATAAGTAAGTGAGAAGAAAGCTGTGACCTGGAGGCTACAGACATTCAGCCTGGTTAAACATAGCAAAGAGCTCAGTTTAATATGTTTAGAGAGAGAAAAAGTGAGATTGAGAGAATTGGTTAGAGCTAAGTAGCGCTGTAAAGTGAGAAGAAGTCTAACTATGGTTTGGATGTCAAGGAGGTGTCTACATGTATTTGGTGGTTGCACAATTTATCTGCTTGGACCAGGGTGTCATATTGGTGCAGATATACTGCAAACCTAAGCTTTGACTTCTGCAGCTAAACTCAGAATGTAAAGGAACTGCCTCCCAGAGGAGAGTGAAAGCTACAGTAAAAAAAAATCAGCTAGGTTAAGTCTGTTGAATTCAGTTTCAGATAGGGACCTATTATTTATCATTATTATTTTTCTTCTTTAGTGTGCCTATCTAGTCATTATTACTTTTCTTTGTTTCATTTAAGTTTTCACCATAAAGATCATTTTGGTGTTTCAATTTATTCCTGCTAGTTATTTTCTTACCCTTGGTTCCTTCACATGTTTTTAATATTTAATTTAAAAAAAGAATTAATTCTTCCACACACACTTTAAAAGATTCTGGTTTATCAAGCCAGATCTAAACAAATATCCAGCTTCTACAGTATTCTCATAACTGAGATCACTACAGGATATGAAAATGTGGAGGAAATGAGGAAGAAGAAACTTGACCCATGGGAATTATGAAGTGATTGTGATCTGAGGACAGCGAGGAAGATAAAACACATTGTAAAAATCAGATTTAGTCAGCAAGTGAGCAAAATCCTCTTAAGTGCACACTGCTGGTTGAAGTGATGAGTTAGAAAATGGAGGTTTATCATGACAACATTGGGAAGCATGAAGTGAATAAATCCCACTCGGCACATTAAGCTTCTCCTCATCATAGATCATTGCAATTTGCCTTGTATGCTTCACATAACATATTTTTTATCCTAAGAGTGTTTGGATAATAGGGAAGTGAAGGTGATTGCTTTTTTTCTTTATGCTTTCCGTACGTTCAACTCTGTTCAGTATGGTTCAGCCATAGCCAACACTGGTTAAAAGAGGATTATGGCAGGAGTTTAGTCATCAGAAAAAAGCAGCTGTAATGTTGCGCAGAGCAAAATATTCCAGATACTGGAAATACTCCATAGAGACATCTGGAAGAGAGAAACAGAGTTCTGGTTTCAGGTTGGTGACCTTTCATTAGGTTTTCTGAGGATGACAGGCATGAAATGTTAACTCTGTTGCTGACTCCAGAGATGCTGCCAGACGTGATGATGAGTTTGAGATAGTAGGAACTGCAGATGCTGGAGAATCCGAGACAACAAGGTGCAGGGCTGGATGAACACAGCAGGCCAAGCAGCATCATAGGAGCAGAAAGGGCTAACGTTTCGGGCCTAGACCCTTCATCAGAAAAGGGGGAGGGGAAGGGGGTCCTGAAATAAATAGGGAGAGAGTGGGAGGCGGATAGAAGATGGATAGAGGAGAGGATAGGTGGAGAGGAAACAAACAGGTCGAAGAGGCGGGGATGGAGCCAGTAAAGGTGAGTGTAGGTGGGGAGTTAGGGAGAGGATAGGTCAGTCCAGGGAGGACGGACAGGTCAAGGGGACGGGATGAGGTTAGTAGGTAGGAGATGGGGGTGTGGCTTGAGGTGGGAGGAGGGGATAGGTGGGAGGAAGAACAGGTTAGGGAGGCGGGGACGAGCTGGGCTGGTTTTGGGATGTGGTAGGGGGAGGGGAGATTTTGAAGCTTGTGAAGTCCACATTGATACCATTGGGCTGCCTCCCTAACCTGTTCTTCCTCCCACCTATCCCCTCCTCTCACCTCAAGCCGCACCCCCATCTCCTACCTACTAACTGCATCCCGCCCCCGTCTCCCTAACTCCCCACCTACACTCACCTTTACTGGCTCCATCCCCGCCTCTTCGACCTGTTTGTTTCCTCTCCACCTATCCTCTCCTCTATCCATCGTCTATCCGCCTCCCACTCTCTCCCTATTTATTTCAGAACCCCCTTCCCCTCCCCCTTTTCTGATGAAGGGTCTAGGCCCAAAACGTCAGCCTTCCTGCTCCTATGATGCTGCTTGGCCTGCTGTGTTCATCCAGCCCTGCACCTTGTTGTGATGAGGAGTTCCACAGTTTCATGTCCTTCTTTCCAATGCTTAGGAATTGTTTAAGAATGTCGAAAGCAAAGAAATTATATTAGACCTGAACGTGATTCCTGTGTGTTGCTAATTTCTGTGGGTTGTTTGTCTTCCGGTGTAGATAATTGCCTGAGAACATTGAGTATGATTAGATCATAAAAGCCTAACAGCAACAATTGGAAAGCCAAATTGAATTCACAGTTATTGAACTGTGTCCTTGGACAGCAACAGTCAAGATAATTGGGATTTAATACTGGCTACTCTGATTTAATTAATATATTGTTAGTAGCATAATTACTTACCTTTGATCTCTGTTAAATAAAGAGTTGTATTTTGTTACACAAGTGGTTTGCTACATCATATTTATTCAAAATCTTGTAGAATATGCTTACTACTATCATCCTTGATTAAATCGACCCTTTGCATCTTACTGCAGGTGATAGAATTACTAAGGGAAATACCACATTTTGAATATGTTGGGAATTTGGATGGAATTTCT